CCCATTCTCACCTAGATTTCAACAATCATCCTCAAAAGACATGAGAATATGCAGACTACTGTTTGAGAATGGCAAGTTCATGGTAGAGGAATACTTAAATTCTAAGTAACTAGCTGTCAAATTCACACATTCAACCTCACACTTAGTTACACTCACTCACACGCGCACACACNNAAAAAAAAAAAGTACAATATTTGCTTAGTGGTCCTGAAGTTACAAGTAGTACAGTCTGTATGACCTACAAGGACCAGCCTAAAGATATACATTGGGCCCTGGGACACCCTGAAAACACAGGTAGCACATCTGGATCAGGGGATACAAAGCATTACTAACCACTGGTCCACCAAAAAAAGGCAAGCTATTTAAAAAAAAAAAAAAAGAAGGAAAAAAGAGAAAAGGAAAAGAGGCATTTACTTTCACTGCACAACAAGCAGAAAAATACCAAGCTTTTAGTAGGAAGTCCCTTTGCCTGGATACCCATCCTGAATTTGTGCCTCGCAAAAGGATGGGTAGTCAGGATCAGAGTAATTACACTTTAAATGCATGTTAAGCCATACTTCAGATATCTAGTACAAGTTTCCTATGTAGTGTAGTGCTACCACATCAGTGTGTATTACTGGGAAAAAAAACTCCAGTAGAAAGTCTCTTCTAAGATGACCCCATAATACTGAGCTGAAGTCATGAGGAAAAATGCACAAAAGCTTCAGGGGAAGAGATACACACACTTCAACCTAAACGCAGAAATGCATAAATTCAAGCAGCACAAAAAAAATATCAATGAAGTATGCATAATCTCTGAAAAAAAGAAAAAATAAAAGGTATGAAAACATCCCTGCTTTCATGTTCCTAAATACAAAACTTCAGTGTAACAAGAGGTCCTTTTTCCGCCTTTTTTTTGTCTTTTGTTCTCCTTTAAAACAGGTAAAATTTGAGTCCTCTGGTGGTGTGGGTGGTATGGGATGACAGTCTTTTTTGTCATTTAAAATCTTTTTCTCTGTTTTCTTATATACTTGAAGATGTGGTAAGCATGCAAGCCTCGTAGAGGAGGGGCCCGGAAGGGCTGATGGGTGGGCTGGTGGTGGAAAAGGAGCCTTTAGGCCAGGGCTGGGAAGGCCTCAGGATCATCCACGTTGGGGACTGACACACCACTAGCCTGCAGGACCAAACACACAAAAACCAGGATTTGGTTAAGAGTGTTTATGTTAAAGCTGCAGTCTGTAATTTTTAGTCGTATTTGCTGAAACTGTCACTATATTGTGACAGTAGTACATAATAAATAATCCAAGACAAAAGTCTGGTTCCTCTGGCTCCTCCTAGTGCTCCTTAATGGTATTTGCAAGAATCCAGCAGGCATGAAAGAAAACAACCAATCAGAGCCGACAAAGATGCAAAGACGCTTCCAGAGCGTCCTAAGCAAACCATCTTTCTTGGATTTGATTGGTTGTTTTTTTGTTTTGGCCCAGTGAATTTTTGTTAATGCCATTAGGAGTACAACAACAAGCCAGAGGAACCTGATTTTTTCACAAATTATCTGTCTCATGAACTACTGTCAGGATACATTGAAAGTTTCAGCAAATATGACAAAAAGTTATTTTTCTAAAAATGACCTACTCCAGCTTTAAAGATGCCATCATCGATATTGTTAAAGTAAAAATGGATCACATTATTCTTGTATATGAAAGTGTCACTTGCAGTGATAAATCCACAGATGATCAGTCAGTCAGTCTATAGTTCTCCTCAGATCTACAGAGTCTTATAGCACCTTCCAGCTCACCTTTTTGATTTTCCAGCTTTAATATTTTTGTTCATTTTCAAGCTTGTTATAGCATTGTTTTCAGCAAAACATCACAGACACTGACTGTCTGGCAGACACTGACTAACCCAAAAATGAAGGATGCCATATGCTATAAAAACAGCACATGGGACACAAAGATACAGTGTCTGGGACAATTCTGGAACAATAAAGAAATACAATACAATACAAATCAAATTACCAGTATTACATCAATGCGTCATGGAATATATTCCATTTTATTTGTTAGGTGTTCAAATTCAAAAAATGTGAGGTGGCCCCAGCACAAGCTCTTTGCTATGTTAAAATCAGTCACAGAGAGAACAGTGTTGCCAACTTGGTAACTTTCTCCTCGGTTTTAGCAACATCTCTAAAAAAGTAACGAGTGACAAATTTAGCAACTTATTCAGACCATCAGGGAAAAGGCGAGAAATGTATTCAAATACAATATTGTAATTCATTCTGACGCATGCTGCTCACAGTAATCACAATCCGGCGCCGGGGTCTCTCCCTCTCCTCTTGTGCTGTGTGCAGGCAGCCAGTAGGTGTGGTGTTGTGTGTAGTTTGTAAATATGTAAATAGTTTGTTTGACCTTCTCTCTCACTCTGCAGATCTCTGTATTAGGCTGTTCCTACAGCTTATATGTAAATAGTTTGTTTGAGCTGTTTGAGTCATTTGTTTAATCTTTGTGCTCCCTTTGTACATTTTCTTGCTAAAAGTATACGCCGTCACTTTAGTGAGTGTGATTATTTGGCCATTGCATAGCAAAAATTAGTCTGCAGCAATAATAATTGAATGTTGAAGTAATTTAAGCATAAATACCAGAAATTCACTGTTTGTAAATGTATGTAATGTAAATCTTTGGTAATCGGCAGTTTAATACTGAATTATTACTTATAATAAACTATAAGTTAACAAAACTAAGCACTCGCTACACAGATCCACCGTACAACTGCCTGTGTGAGTTTTGCACCGTGTAGCATGTGGTCACTAGTCTTGTTATTTCAGGGCCTCAGTATTCCACAGCAGGTTTTCCAAGTCAGTGGTTTTACAGCCTGTTCAGAGTCAGTGAGCTAAATCTAAACTAAACCATTGTCGTTGGCAGTGACAACAGCTTTTTATTGTTACCTTGTCGGGTCGTCCTCCCCCACGTGCCGTCCTGCTGCCTCCCCCACCGCGGCCTCCCCTGCCTCCGCGGGCTCCCCCACGCCCGCGGCCGGGGCGGCCCAGGTCTCCAAAGTTGATCTCCAGCTGGGATGTGATGTCGTTGGCTGGTTTGCGGAAGTGGTGGTCACTGGACTCATCAGGGTTGGCCGGCTGCTAAGAACAAATGACGATAGTATGTTAGACATTAACTGTAACTCTGTACTGAGGGGTTTGTTCGTAAACCAGTAATGAAGTGAGTGAACGTGTGTGTTCTTTATTTAGCTGCTTAGCACCAACACTGTCTTTAGATTCTTCATTTCCTCTGGAGAAAAAGAAATGAACAACCCATTTTCAATATTTGAAGGTGTATTAAACTGCCTACCATTTTCCAAAGGTGGTTTCATACAGACTGTTAACACTGACTGTTGTCATGAATTGTGTGGGTGTGGAGTGTGAGAGCTGTGGGCACCTTGTGGTACAGAGCCTGTGTGTCTGGTTCCGTCTCTGCGACGTCAATCAAAGCACCAACAGGCCTCTGGAATGTACAGACAGCAGAAGGTCTTTCATTAATACAAATGTCAGATCAGCTGGAGAACACACGAGGATGGGAATGCTACACAGAAGTAAGCACACTATTTAAATACAAAACACAAAAACAGAGCAAGGTACTCTGACAACTTTGTAACCATGTTTCAAAATTAATCCAGCGTCTTAAATAAGACATTTTGCCAGACAAAACAAGACATCTTTACAACCTCAACCTCTGTTTAATTGTGATCTTTTAGAATTTTCTGTACTACCATCAGAGTAAAGACTAGACGCTGGCAGGAGAGATTTGTCTTAACTGTATCCAAATTATGATGATTCTGTCATTACAATACATCTTTTTGTTTCTGTTCTGTTTTCCCTAAATATGAAATAAGGAGATATTTGTACTAAACAAAACAATAATACTCATAAAAAAAAACAAAACAAATTTCATTAAATTTTACAGACAAAACAATTATCAGAAAAAACAGCTGGAAGACTTATCGATAATCAAAACAACTGGTTGTTGCAGCCTTGAACTTCATCAGTACTTTACTTTCTAAGTTGTTTGTTGCCAATTCTATACTTTGTTTTTTTGCTCTCTTCCTAAAATTCTAAAACACTAATGGAGTCGTTAACCTGTCAAATTGTTGTGCTTAAATTTTCAAAGCAGCAATATTATTTGACTGGTTAAAATGTTACAAATCTAAGACAAACGGTATGTTTAAACACTTAAAACAACAACAACAACCTAAAGACTAAAAGTGTATGAGGAACTGAAACATGGGTACAGAGCTGGTGTGGTGTAGACAGCTGCAGTTGGTGAAGGGAAGGAGGAGAGAAAGTGAGAGAGAAGATTTGTTCTCGGTCAGCTCATAAATCACCTCACTCACATCTTCGCTCTTGGACTTGTGCAGCACGTATCCTTTCTTCCACTGGCTGTCGGCTCCTTCATTGGGTTTACGGATGTTGAACTCCACCTTGGTGCGCTCTTTGTCCTGCATGGCCTTCCACTCGTCCAGGGTCATCTCTTTGGGGCCTTCCATTTTAACTTCTTCAACCTCATTTTCCCTGAAAAGCCAGCACACACACAACGTCGGACCTCAAACAGCCAATCCTCTTAGCTCTATACATGCTCTCTAATCCCGAGGCCAAAAGGTCAGTGACATTTGGACTGAAGCTTTGTGACAAAAATGCACATGCAGAGATACTGTTTGTGACACGGAGCGGTGTGATGACATACAACTCTGTACCTCCAAACATTCCTTTACTGAACGTCCAAAGTTCACCTGAAACCGGACAGGAAATGGATACTCACTTGTTCTCAGAGCCGGCAGGTGCGTTTTCTTCTCCCTCCGGGGCCGGCTCAGGAGCAGCGGTCTGTTCAGCCTCACTGGGAACAGAGACGCACAGCCACCTTGTCAATACTCAAACACTATGTGTTAGTGGTACCTTTACAAGCTAGCTCAAAACACTCTTTACTGTGTGTCATTGTGTTATTACACACCAAGTTGAATAATAAAAGATAATACACGGTATCTACCAGACACTATTCTGTGAAAATGCTCCATGAAAACTAGTGCTTATTATTGTAACACAGAGAGCCACTTTATGTGGACCACAAAGTAAGTAACAAGTTTCAGATTTGCATCATTATCCTGCAGACAGCAACGCTCAGATAAACAGGCCATCCGTCTCTTCTCCAACACTCACCTCACTTCATCCTTCACATTGCCCCAGTTGTTTGAACCACTGCCGCTGCGCTTCTCCTCACTCTTCTGATTGCTGGAGCAAACCAAAGGGAAAGAAACACACACTGATGCATGTGGTCTAAAAATACTTACAGCCCACAGTGAACAGTAATTCTGAGACCAACAACAACAACCTTTGACCTCCAGTGTGTAGTTAAAAATAGCTTAATGCACGTAACTTGAGAACTGATCAGTAGCACCCTTTTTATTATTAACACATTTGCTGTAAAGTATAAAACACCTGTATATAGACCAATAAACAGGGTCGATAACAGTGCGACTTGGTCCTGGCGAACTCTGGCAGTTAAAAGAGCTCATGAAGGTTCCCCTTGATAATAAATAAAGATTAAACAATAGGATGCTTTGGTTAAGTAGATGTTTCTATTTCTGGATTCACTGGTCTGCAAAGGTCTCAGAGTTCAGGACTGACTCACGATTTGTCAGTGCCGCTGTGTCTGTCAAAGTCTCGTTTTCCACGGGAGTCAAAGCCGTCTCCTCGGCCCATGCCCCTTCCTCTTCCACCACGCCCACCACGGCCGCCACCACGCCCTCGGGGGGGCCTGTCTCCAGGAGGCCTGATGGGACACAAACAGAGAACATTTTCAACCGTGCTTCAAAAACTAGACATTCACAAGACGGCTGTGCTGGGATGTTGAGGTTAAGTGAGCTGAGATTATATCAAACGCTTGCACGCAAACGCTTGCATGCACACAATGATCCTGTGATTGCGCCACACAGCCTTGAGCTAATCAGCATGTTTAAATATGCTCTTCAGCGTTCATCACAGCTACTCACTTGTCTGTAGAGAACTCTCCACCTCCCTCAGGCTTGTCCTCAGCGGGCTTCTCAAAGCGGCGCTCGCGGGGAGGTCTCCGATCCGGCCTCTTGTCTCCAGGTCGCCCTTCACCCTGCCCGCCCTGATGCTGGGAACCAGGCTGGCCCTGCTGGTCTGGTCTTCGGCCCACCCGCCTGATACCTGACAATGACAGGAGCATACACAACCAGAGTGAACCCTCCACTACAGTCATTTCCATTAGTGACATCATTTCTTGCTGTAGTCGTTTGTGCCCGTTTGACAGTCAGCACTTGCTGTGTAAACCATCCACTATCATATCATAAGTATGTAAGCTGCTGCTGTACTGTCTGTCTGTCTGCAGCTTTAACAACAGCACGCTGCACTTAGTTTCTACAAACACTACTGGAGAACAGTGGGCCTCTTTTCATTAACTCCGTACTGTTTGTGAACTCAAGCTTATTCGACTACGCTTGAAAGAAAAAAGTTTTCACTCAGGGGAGAAACCATCAATCCAAACAAAGGGCCGTCTGTCTAGTTCTCCCAGTACGCAGGTGAATATTATGCGCATTTGTTTGCAAACGCCTGCAGCCGCTAACGGAGCTGCGCACGAAGCATCATCCAGCAGACAGTAACCCAACACTACACCTTCCTGTCGGATGCTGCTGGGAACCATCTCTGCGACACTGGCTCGGCTGTGCACACAGCACCTTGCAGGCGGATACACCTGAGCTGTGTTGTGACCCCGCTACAGACAGCGCTCGCTGTCAGGCTGCCCTCGGTCAGAGGGGTTGACCTCACGCTGTGTTCCGCTCAGACCAGCAGCAGCAGCAGCTAGCGCAGCTATCAGGAGCTGCACAGGACAGTGGATGCGAAAAAGATGAAAATAAACATGCAGTGCACACAAGAGAAAGAGCAGGTGGAAATATTACCTTCTTTCTTCAGGGGGACCGGAGCCTGGGACTCCTCCTTCTTGTCCAGCAGCGGGTTCTTCCTGTCCTTCTGTGACTCTTTCTTCGGCTGCTTCGCGGCTTGAGCCGCGGTCTTAGTGGACCCAGCGGCGGCCCCCTCCTTCTTCTTGTTTTCAGCAGCTTTCAGGATCTCGAACGGGTCGGACTCATCGTCCAATAACTGGTCGAACCGGTTGGTTACGACGCAGCCGAAGCCTTCTTGCAGGTGTCCGGGCATGATGGCGCCCCTTCAGCGGGATTCACCTCCGATTCTACGAGGCTTGATGCGAACAATTCGCTGGATGCTGCCACAAGATGGCTGGGAGAGCTGCCCCTTCTCTTCCGGTGCGAGCACCATCCGGGACATCGTGCGGCGCGCACCAATCTGAGCACACGGTGGCTGCAATGTTTTTATTTACATTATGTAATGACGTGCTTTCATGTCCTCTTAGAATAATCCGGGGTTTAATGTCTGAGAGGAAGTCACTCGCAAAGGGAAGCTTTCAATAGTCCCACAGTGGGCCGCAGAGAAGAAGGTTGAAAACAAAACAACTCTAGGAGAAGAAACTGAGGAAAATGCATGTTATTCAGTCAGTATCCCAGGGTTTGCCTAAAGATATATATATATGGACACAATCCTGAAATCCAACACCAATATATATAAATATATAGATATATATTAGATAGCCTGAATAAGCTCTACATGATACTAGACAGTTACTGCTATTAAAATGTCAGTAGCTGCTTGTATGTGCAGCTATGGCTGTGCAGATGCTACAGACACACATATCATAAGATTAAGTGGGATTTGTGGGTTTATAAAAAGCAGCAAATGGTGTGTTTTGGGCCAGTAGGGGCATGCTGAGAAACAGCTGGTGGTAACATATCTGCCCTCTGTGGAGTCAGCTCTACAGCACACAGGCTCTTCGTGTAACTTGAGGCCTGTCTTTCTAGTCATGAAAGTGAAGAATGAAAGCCTATTCATGTCTAGCTTAAGCTTCGGTTACTTGGCTGGATTTTCTTTAATGAAATGGCTTTGCAAAGGGATTCTTTGGCAATAAAGATCATTTAGACAATGTGTCAGTTGTTTTATAAACAATAAAATGCATTTTGAAACACTTGAAATCATCAACCCAAGCTGTCAGTAATCAAAACATGAAGTCTTAAATGTTTATTTTTGCATTATACCTGTATAGAGAATAGAGAAACTAAGGAAAAGCTTATTTTTAAGTTAGACTAATACAAGATGTGCGTGGTGGCCTGTTACTGCAGCTCTGACCTCCTTTCTATGTGTTTAGTGTATTTCTTTTTTATTCTATTTTTATTTAATGTGTATTTTCTTATCTGTTGTTGTATCTGGAGCTGCTGTAGTGAGTGAATTTCACTCACGCGTTGATTCGTCCTCACTGTGCAGTATATTTGGCAGGAAGTTGCTACGTACACAACATCCACTTGGCTGACAACTCAACTGACTCAAAATGTCCAAAATCCACAATTGCATCCCATGTTGAATATATTGCAGCCATAAATGTAACAGTAAGTTATTTTAAATATGTTGCACACATTCTTCACTTGATCAACAATGCAGAATAATAGTATGAGAACATCAACTTTGACCCTAATTATTGTACAAAATCAATATTTCTCTATTGAATATATGCCAAAGTGGCTCCTCCCTTTGCATTGAACATGACAAGAGATTTCCCACAGGGATTTGAAATAGGAATAATCCTTCCTTTAGCATGCTCCTTTGTTCCCTTAAAATATCCCTGATGACTCCATCCTGTGCATGACGGATTACCTACACACTACACGAGGGACATGTCGGTCACATTTTGTGACTCATGAATCACTTGAGTCTGCACAAGCCTGGCACTACTGCAACCACTCTGCTGCACTATCAAGATTGTGTTTCATACCATGGAAGCAAAAATGTAAACAAAATTAAGATCGAAAGTGTGTGTGTGTGTGTGTGTGTGCGGTTGGTTCATCTGAGCTAGGGTTGAGCTGTAGCTGCTCTCTTTTGACATTCGGGTGGCTGTCACAGTAATGGATTAGAAAATAAACTTGATACATATGTCAGTCGATACGTTTTGTTAATTTCTGCATTTCATTTCCTGCGTGTCTTCCCCTCTCGCTCTCTATATACCCTTTTCAGTCTATCTTCAGCTGTACTATCTAATAAAGGGGAAAAAAATTAAATAAAGAAAACCAAACTGGCAGCATTGTGCACACTACATGGCCTTATACTATAGCCCAACTGATACTGGATTTTTGGGACAGATACTGATACAGATTTTGAGAGATTAAAATACCTGAAAATTATATTATATTATATAGGCTGATAGTTGCTGTGACACATGTAGGACATTTCACAGTTGGAGAATCAACTTGCCAGAGTGGCAACAGTGACACTATTTCAGACCTAGTTTCTGTACTGTGATACATGACATATCTGCAATAACATCAGTTGTATCAGCTTGGTCAACTTAAAAAGCACAATAGGAATATGAGCTATAACTGGAGGTACAACTAGGCTTGTTCCAATCAGACTATTTGTATGTATGTATGTAGGTATGTTAATGCATGTCGTGTTAAGTTAAAGCAATACCTTATTGAAAAACACCCAATTACAAATGAAAGCACTGCATTAAAATTGTTACTTAGGTCAAAGTAGCTTAATGTACTTAAACTATTAAAAGTCTAAAGACACATTATGCAGGGACACAGTATTATTAGTTTGTTTTTGTAGATGTTTTAACATGTGAGCAGGAAGTTAATGTTCCTGCTGGTGAAGCTAATCTCAACCACTTTAAGTAGATATGCTGTTAGGTAGTTTAATCTATATGATTGATGATGATCTGAGAAGAAACCCCTAATCTCCAAAGTAGTAACTGACAATTGTAGTGGAGTAAAAAGTACTGTTTCTCTCTGTAATGTAGTGGAGAAGAAGTCAAAAGTAGCATACAATCTAAATTATGAAGTACAATATAAGTACCTCAAAATTGTACGTAAGTACAGTAAATACTTGAGTAAAGGTACACCATTACTTTCCACCACTGCTGTCCAGCGTACCTTGTAGGTTATATGGTGAAAATAATAAATTTGCCCCAGAGAACTCACTTACCTAGAGTCAGTCCACGACTGCAACTGAAGCACATCTTATATGTCTCAACAATAAAGTATATTACAATAACTCACTATTAAAAAAAAAACAACAACTTTCTGATGAGATGGTGGCTGATGGTGTATTCTCTTCTCTATCTTTTTCTTGATTTCTATAATGAAACATTAATAGATGTCTTTTTTATTTTCCAGATTAGAGCCGGCAGGAGTCAACCATTTTTTTTTACCGACCTCAAGAGCGGTTCAATTTATTTAAACGCGCCATTACAGTCCGCTAACTGTGCATCATAATGTATGATTTGTGGCACAAGAACCCACTGATGACAGCTGATGGTATGTTGGTGGTTGCTCAATGGCCTCAGGAAAGTCTGTAAGGTAAGAAAGTTGTAGAAGAAACCTGATACAGCTATCAGACGAAGACACACAGGCAGGCAGTCGCATCTACATTACAACAAGAAAGCAGCAACAGATGAGACTGCTGCAGGTTATTGATCTCACACAACCTTCATGACCCCAACCCCATTACGGTTTATAAAAAAAGAAATAAAAAAAGTTGTTATTCAGATATAAACTCTGAAAAAGGCACATTAACTCATGTAAGTAGTTTTGTGGAAAAGACGATAGACAAAAATAACTCAATGGTACAACTGGCAAGAATAAAAAGAATAAGAGCACTGTTATTGTTCTTCTTCACAAATTGTACATAGTTCATTTCCAAAGAGCAAAAAACATCACAAAAGAATCACATCTACTCTGTCTCACTGTCCATCAGATTCTTTGTCAGCATTTCTCTCACTCAGTGTCCTTCTTACTACTTTCTCAAGTTCAAGAAGTTTTGAATAGAGGACTTCAGACGTTCCTTCATCAATGTCCATCTGAAACATGAACAAAAAACGGACAGAAAGTCAGCATTAATTACATGTATATAAAGTGTCTTCAGCAGCAGGTCGCTGATTCCAGTATGTCTCTTATGGATACATTTCATTTCTTCAATATTTATGTAGCTTATCTGAGGTTCACAAACAGCAGACTTGAGCAGCATAACGCTGTAGAAGCAATGGTTTCTGGTTACTCACCTGTCGAGGCTGAGTGTAGTTGGTTCCAAGTCCTGATGTTAAACTGTGATACTTTGCTCTTGGATCCAGAGACTCTGGCTTTTGAAGAAACAACCAGTGCTGTGAAAAGCCAGAGAGAATGTCATTGTAGAGATGTGAATCGTTGAAGTGTGTCCTTGAAGTATTTACATAGGGACAACGACAGAAGAGGTTGAAAACATACCAGTGCCTCCGCTCCATTGTATGGTGTAAGTGTGAACGTGTTGGTGAAGATCCTAATCTGCATGAACAGAGAATATGTCACAACAGCATGAAACAGTTCATATGCAACTTCAGTCCTGTTTAACGCAAAGGGATTAAAAACCATGCTCACTCACCAGCCACATAATGGGCATGATGAGAGTCCAGAAGCCGGAGGGGAGAATGCCGTATGTCAGATTAGTCATCACCAGTCCTGGACATATTACAGAGGAGAACAGCCCCTGTCACAAAGAGAAGAAAAAACTGGCATTTACATGACAGAGGAATGATTAATTAAAGGATGCGTGTGGTGTTTTTAGCCTTCATAAAATGTTTATCAATTCTGATTATTAGGAGGGCGAATAAAGGACATTGTGATTAATAACAGATAAGGTGTTGATGATTCTTTCACTCTTTTTTGTTATGTTCATATATTACAGTTTGTATGCTATATCTATATACAGTAAGATACTCTTGATCTAGAGTATCTGTTACTTGCAACCAGTGGGATTTATTTCAACCAGCATAATTCAAGCTTAATTATCAGTGTGAACGACAAAACAACAAACCTTTGCAGCCACTTTTATAGCCTAAAGGAGGTGAGTGTTTGGTTTGTTTGGGGAAAAAAAGATTTGGGGTGTTTAGTCCTGCAAAGACCATTGTTTAACTTCCTTCAAGAAAAGAAGGAGCTAAAGGGATTGTAATGTGATCTACTAATTAAAACCCTCACAGAAAGCAACCCTCCTTTTTGGTTCCATAGGTACAGGAGAGCGAGATTATAAACGAAGTAAAGAAGATTTTAGTGGGAAAAGTAGAAAAAGTTTAAATCAAAATTGCACCTACTGAGTAATGTGAGTCTTTTGATCAATACAGTCTAATGTGTCCAGTTTAAAAACACCAACTGCATACTCTCATACTATTAAATACTTCACATTAAGTCACAGTTGGGGAGGACTCTACATTAAGAAGAATAAAGACATTACGTGCAGGTTCTGTAAAATAGATGGTATAATCTTTTTTTATAAACTGAAGCATGCATGTACCATTATATAGGCTAATGATTAAAAGATAACTAAATATATGTACTGTAAGGGAAGTTTTCTCATTTTGCCTTTGCTAAATATTCTGTAATCTTTTGTCTAAACGCAACATTTGTGTGAGAGGACGTCAACGCAAGCAAATGAGTCAAAGTGCTGCATCAGTAATCTGCAGACTGTGTGACAAACCAACCTGGCTGTTCTTGTGCCTGTTCAGCGCCAGGCTGAGCAGGTCTGATGCGTACTTTGAAGAGCTGTAGGGCTCCGTCCCATTTCTGTGCTCCATGTCCTCCATGCTGAAGGCAGAGCGGCGGGCGTTACTCGAGGAGGTCCACACGACCCTGGACACATGGTCTGTCTTACACAGCAGAGGCTCCAGCTCCCTGATCTACACCAGAGAGACAAAGCCATCATGGGTAATGATGAAACAGATTACAACACAATGATAAAACAGATAATCTACACTATCAAGAAGATACCCATCTTATTAAGCCTGGTAAGACATCATAGATCATTATAGCTGCCTCATTATATTCCATATACCGTTGTTTAATGATAAATAATGGACTGAGGTTATTTCCCAGTGCTACAATATTCTAATGTTAGCAAGAACATTTGATCAGTAAACTTTCTGCTTCAAATAAACAAAGGAGAGCAGGGCTAATGTAAAGTAGCTCTAGTTTAAAATGTTTTACTATACAAAGATTTTATGCATATCATCCATCTCTAACAAATCTGTCAGTATTCCATATGCATAAACTATATGCATCTGCAATACGCTACCATATGCATATACAACGACGGTATGTTGCAAGAACATAAAATACTGAAAATTATGTCAATTTAATGGACTTTCTATCATCTTTTAAATGTCATGTATGTGTGCATTGCGTTGGGTACCAGGAGAAAGTGACCGAAGAGGTTGGTGGCAAAAACTTCCTGCAGACCATCTGAGTTGACGAGGTCCTGTTGAGTTAAGAGACCCTCTGCTGTCGCAAACATGTTGATGACATTCCTGCAGTGATAGCGCACAACATTACACAACAGCATGGACAAGTTGCACTGGTGTACAGCCACCAAACCTTCAGCAAAAATGAAATAAATCAAAAGCAAAGCAGTCAGGAAGTGGCTTTTGAATCTTACCAGGAGAACAGACCCTTGAAAAAGGCTTTGACATTCACTTGTGGATTGGGCATAATTCCTGCATTCAGATACAGAAAGTCAATTCTGCCGTACCTGTGGAAAACATCCCAGGTTAATCAATCTTAATTCCATAGCTATTTCATAGTTAACAGAGAAAAAGCAGCTGTAAAGCAGCGTCTCGACAGTGTCATGGCGTCACTGTATCATGGTATCAGTACCTGGCCTTGACCTCCTGAGCAGCAGCGAGCACGGACTGCACAGAGCCCACATCGAGGTGCAGCAGGTCTACGTTGGCGTCGGCGTGAGAGGTCAGGAGAGAGGCGCGGGCAGCCTCGGCCCGCTGCAGGTTTCTGCACGCCAGACAAAGCCGAAGCTGGCTCTCCTCCGTCAGCAGCCTTTCACACAGGGCCAGGCCAATGCCGCTGCATAAAGTGACAGATGGCAGACAAACACAAGCATGTAAACAAACTTCCCCAAGGAGCTGTGTGATCACACAGATTAACTGAACGAATCAACTGGCAAACACAGAAAACTGTCCGTGAGTAACAATTGGAAAAGACATAATAAAGGCAGATTGGAAACATTTGTTTGCGAGTTCAAATTTTTACAATGCAAGTGGATAATATGGACCTTTTTGAGACAAATAATTTTCATTGAAATATCACAGACCAGTGCATTAGATGTAAAGTGGATATGAGGACGCTGTATTATTATTCATAGGAATGTCTTGCTGAAGTATTTTGAAATAAAGTCATATTTTTCTGTTTCACTGTACTTGTAATCCTCTTTTGTGTCCCAGATTGTGTTTACTTTATATATTTCCTACCTATGCAATTTAAGGATTGAGAAAATAAAAGGATGGTACTTTTTTGTTTTCTGTTTTGGAAAGAACCCACAAAAAAGGACTCAAGCACACTTTATATGTACAAATTATAATCTGCAAGCAAACTGAAAGACAGACAAAGGTATGTAATATATATGTAATATATATATATATACATATATATACTATATATATATATATACACACACACACACACACAATACAAAACACTGACATAAGGGAATACTTTTGGTATTTAGGAATACAGAATTGCTGGAGCTGGCACAGTAGTAGCCTAGCTTAGCATAAAGAAGAGTTTGTGGATTTATGAGTTATGTGCTGGACATTTGACTTCCTTTACTTTTTTAGCTTACGATTGTATCTTACTGAGGGAGACGTTCACAGCGTATTTGTTACATTACTGGACTGTAAATTCTTGTTTCCTTTAAATGAAATACACCAACACTGATAAAGACGATTAGCCAGAAACTGATATCGGTCTGCCCACTTTATCAGTCGGGCTTTGGTCGCTTTATTTGACTTCTACTGTGTTATAAAGTTATTTTCTGACAGCATGTCTCACACACATAAGGATAACATTAAGAAATGAAGGAAATCCAACTGGTAAACATGATCACAGCCTGTAAGCGTTACAGTCCATCTCCCCCAGAGGCACTAACACATACTGACTCACCCTCAGTGTTCATCAGCTACCGAGAGCTGTCACTTTGTAACAACGGGACAAACCGACAGTCTACTCATCGCCGGACCCACCTGTTCGCTCCGGTTACAACCACAACTTTCTCCATGTCCGAGCGGAGGAGCTGGAGGCGGCTGCAGGTGAGCTCGGGCCCCGGGGACAGAGTCTCAAAGCGGGGACCGGCGGGGTTCAGCCATATACTGTCAGTGTGTTCAGCCCATCGTCCGATCCCGGTGGAAAAAACAGCAGCCTATATGCACGAGCAGATACGTGGTGTGATTGGATGTCACCAAACAGCTGGCCAATCAGCTTCCACTACGGAGAGCGAAGAGGCCCAAAAGAGTGCAACGGTTTGAAAATGACGCTTTGGACATTTGGACTGTGAGTCCAGTGTGTGAAGAGAAAGACAAGCAAAGAGGGACAAACAGCAGCGAACATTCATTTCTCTTTATTTACAGGGATCTTTTGGTTCGACAGCTATTAAAAACTGTTCAACAATATACAGCTCATTTCTTTCTGCAGAGGGACATAAACATGTCAGTGAAATGCTGCAGAGTAAAACGCCAGTCTCATCAGTCATCATAATGTCATTAGTCTATCTTAACATTTAAAAGCAAAAACAAAAACATTCATAAAAGGTCACACTGTACTGACATTCTCTAATAAATGTGCAATAGATTTAGATGTATGTATGGCAAAGAAAAAATATATTCATAATTGTGTTTTTCAAACCCTAGGATTACCATGGAGTACTCTATAAATAGACATAGCATAGAAAATAAAAAGAAATTCATAAATACACAGAGGTGTGAATAGTGCTACTTTGCATAATATCTACAATAAAGGCTCTGTTCAAGTGTATACCTTCTCCTCATATCTTATTATTTACAGGACCATTGTGGCAAGCAAGCAACAAAAAAAAAACTAATGGAAAACATTTGATGGGTTGTTTCTGACTCTGAATTAATTACAAATGAATCCAGCCTGAAGGCAGCAAACGTGACAGTGCATGGCAGAGAGAAAATGATCTGTTCCATCTGCTACGCCAGGCTCTCCGTCAGCTGAGTGTGTATCTCCTGAAAGCTCGGCCTCTGCTTGGCGTTCCTCCTCCAGCAGCTCAGCATGAGATCACTGTACACTCTTTCAGGACAACAGGGAGGCTTCGGCAGGTACACCTGGCAGCATGAGTCAAAATATCAATGTAGGATTAATGTTACAAGGCCTATGAGGCATCACTATTTTGCACTGTGAGATACAGATGCAGGGAAAATATGGGATACTGATTATTACCACAAACAAACTGACACTACAGAGGATTGGTTGCCTAAATCTGTGTGATGCTCACCTGCTTGCCCTGGTCTCTGAAGAGCTCGCCTGTGTTTTCAATGACCTGCTCGTCAGAGAGCTGGGAGTAGGGCTGCTTCTTACACAGAGTCAGGATCTCCCATAGAGTCACACCGAATGCCCACACGTCACTGGCCATGGTGAACTTACCCTGAGAGAACAGACAGCTTGAATCCAGATACAATCTAGCATTGACTCAATGTGGATGATTGCATAGCTGCAATATAATCAGCAATCAAATCATGTGAATGTTACAGACCACTATCGACCATTTGGGTTTTCTGAATCCTTGGACAGGAATGTGAAAATGAAAAACTATAGGGTACTTATGTTTTCATTGACAGACATCCGGCACTCACCAGCAGGATGCTCTCCCAGGACATCCAGCGAATAGGCAGGACAGCCCGGCCCTGGATCCTGTAGTAGTCCCCTCTGTACAGGTTCCGACTCATGCCAAAATCGGCGATCTTTATGGTGTAGTTCTTACCCACCAGGCAGTTGCGGGTCGCCAGATCACGGTGGACAAAGTTGAGAGAGGACAAGTACTTCATACCAGATGCGATCTGCACAGCCATGCCAATTAGTTTACTGTAGCTACAGAGCAGAGGACCCCACAGAGAAAGAGAATAAGTCCAGTATATAGTGTACTTATGCATAGTGTTGGAGTTTAATGTGAAGATATGAACCTACCTGATCATACTCTTCCCTTCGTTTTCCTGCTGTTCTGTCTTGTCTTCATCAGCAGCCTCTTTTAGTTTGAGATTGCAGAGGAACTGGTTCAAGTCTCCATTTTCCATGTACTCAGTGATCATACACAGTGGGTCGGTGTCCACACACACCGCCAGCAGACGGACAATATTGGGGTCCCTCAGACGAGACATGATTCGGATCTCCTTCAGGAAGTCATTCCTGCAGTGCAGCAGGGACAAACAATTACAATTTACCACTTGACCGGCGACTGAATGGATAATAACTACCAGCTGGAGACTGATGTACCAACTGCTTTTACCTTGCGTTCTTGTTGGCATCTTCACGCAATGTTTTCACAGCAACCAGCAAAGGTGACTCATTGTTTCCCTCTATAGACAAATCCTCATCCAAAAAGTCCTGCATGTCCTCTGCCTCACACAAGTGCACCTGTTTTAAAAAAGCAATGTTTTAGTCCATCATCCACTTGGCACCACTTGACACCATCTGTTTATCTCTGTTTATTACTTCTAAGTCTTGCCTATTTGTCAGCATGTACTGTATAGTCGCTGCATCTCACACCGCTGTTGCCACACAGCAATATCTATCATTCAGGTTTCAAAATGAGAGCTATAAAGATACATCAACATAACTCTGGCAGAGAGAGAACAGCCCGATGAATCTAATATGTTTCTAAAATACCAGATCAATGCCAACAAACATTAGAGCGACAAAACTAAATATACTTCTCCAAACTGGCCCTCTCCCAGTTTCTCCTTGAAGGTGAGCTTGTCTCTAGGGAACTCTCTCATGGATGAATCGGTGCCAGCAAACAGATTCATATTGACAGCAGCGATGGAGTAGGTGCCGCTGTCTGCAGACTCCTGGAGGCTGATGATGTCTGCCTCTGCATAGTGGGGGGCGCTGTCTGAACTACTTGTTGCAAGGGCTCGACAGGAGGTGCTCGGCCCTAATGTTGAAACACACACACACACACACACACACACACACACACTACAGCAGCTATAGCTAAAGCCAACCTCCACAGTATTGATTGCATTGTGCGTCAGTCTTACCAAGGTGTTCAGTGGACTGAGCAAACTCAGGTAGTTTCCGGATGAGGCGTGACGGCTCCTGGTAGTCAGCGCAGAGGGGGAAGATTCTCTCATAGGTGGAGTTGGAGGTGGAGCCACCCTCACTGGACAGAGAGGAGTGGTGGGAGGAAAAGGCCTGGGTCTGGACCGCAAGACGAGCTGTGAGTTCATCGTCCAGGATCCGACGAGATGCCTAAGAAAGTACGTGTGTGAGAGTTGAAGTCTGTTATTTGTTGTTTACTTTAAATAATAATAAGAGAAGGTTTCCCTTACAAGGTTTTTATAGGGCATCAGTGATGGATGTCAGACTTGTCAAATAGAAAGATGTGTGCAAAAATGTTTCACGCAATCAATGTCTCAAACTACGAGGTCTTCATCAGGCAAAGTCCCTGCTTATCATAGAGCAGGCTATATATACAGATAAGAAAATGACAGTTTCACTTCCATCTCATAATACAACATAACACCCATTGTCCCTAAATATACATAATGTATACATACATAATGTTCTGCAAGGTTTTTGTCAAATCCCTGAATAAATCCAAAATGTTCCATATTGGAGAGGTTTTTCTCCAGACCACCACTGAAAGGAGACTTTTTAAAAATACCAATATACAATAAGCTGCTAATGGCATTGCCTGCCTGTCTGCTTGAAATGGATTACAATGGGACTACAGTCCATTTCAGCTCATAAAGCCTGTCTTATAATAATGAAATAAAAAAACTCCTTTCCTTTACCCCCTCTCTGATGATATGTCTCCCCCAATGTCAAAACAAAACCTTGATCAATCAGACAAGAATATGGTCTTTTAAGTCATTATCAACAATTATTACCAACATAAGCACATAAGATCAGTGCCAGAGAATTGAAAAAAACCTCATACCCCACCTTTTCAAGCATCTTTTGCCAGACCTGCCTCCACAGGATGATGACTATGATAGTCAATAGGATGGCAATGATAGCCACCAAGCAGCCGATCAGGATCCTGGTATTGCTATCATCCACTTTATGAGTAGGATCGTCCCCTGACCAATGAGATGAGAGTTATGAGTTGAGGTGGATTTGATTGAATCCATCACAGTTCAATTTCTTATTAGAGCATGCTCAAAGCACAATCCCCTTCATGTTTCATTACAACTACACAAAGAAACCTGACATGTATTCTAGTCATTCCTAATGCTATCAGCAGGGGGCACTGTTTAACCAGAAAACATTGTAGTAAAACCATCTTTTAACAACAAGTAATTGCCACCCTTTTAGATTGAGATAAATCACTATACATCATAGTAAGTTGTATAACACCAATTCAAATTTAATTAGGGCATTAATTAAATCATAAATGAATGAATATCTTCTGAATATATAATAGTTTTTTGATTATATTTGTGGTTGACTGAACATTATATGCAGCCTGTGTTTTGTTTACTACAACATCTCTTCCTAGCAGCCATATATCAAACCAGCCTGCACTCCCTCTTGCCAGCATTTTTCTCAACTGTCTGACTGTCACTTCACTAAATTACAACCTTTGCTTAAAAGAAAAAAATCATAAAGGATTTAGCTGCTGACCTGGTAGTGTGTTTGTGGGGTGTCCATGTTTGCGAGGAGTCAGAGATGTATTGTACACTGCTGAGCCTGTAACAGAAAGACAAGGCAAGACAATGCTGAAGGATATAAGGTCAGGTGACATTTTCTAAATGTTTCCCCTTCAAAATGGGATAAATCAAATCAAAGTTTCTGACCAGGCACCAACTGGAAGATGACACAATGTTTACCTGACTGGAAGGCCACCTCACTGAAAAGTAGCCAGAGGTCACTGAAGTGGAAACGGCATTTGATGGCACTGGCTGTGCGGTCCCCGAGGGGCACGGTGACAAAACGGGCGCCCTGGCTCAAGCGGTCAACAGTGGGTCTGAAGATCACCGGGTCAGCCTCCCAGTCTGATCCTGACCGGAAGTAACAGCTGGCCTGTCGGAACATCCTCACCCCTCGGCTGAACATGTTATTACAGTGGACCTGTGGAGGTGGAAAATGTAAATAAAAGCAAATCAAAATACCAAAACTGTAGCATGAAAATAGGCCGTTATCCTGGTAATATCTATAAGGAATGCACATTTCTTTCTCCTCCTGT